CACGCCGCAATCCCTTCTCCTTCATTCTCCTCTCTGGATCTTGGGCACGCATGTGCACGCGCCCAGTGTGAGTTTAAGCCACCGGGTCTGAGACTTGAACCGCGGTCGACTACGTGGGAGTCCAGCGACATAGCCATTACGCTAACTGCTGGTCACCCCCAATGTGATTTTTAAGTTTTTGGGTCTAGGAGTGGATCCACAGTCATCCATTTGGGAATCCAGCTCCTTCACCCCCCTTCCCCCCCCAAAAAAAAGTATTTGAGTCAGAATAAACTATAGGTTGCTCTGATTTGTTGTTTTAATGTTCCTGGTTTAATTGGTTAGTGTTCCAGTTTGTTGTTTTAACCTGAGTCATTAGGATGGAGAAGCTAGGAGCTTTAATAGAGTGAGGTTTCTCAGAGAGGTGCTTAATAGTTAGTCTTTTTATTTTTTAAATTTTTTAGTTGCCCAAGGATACTTGTGCTCTCCAGAGAGCAGAAACAAAGAGAAATCACTCCCAGTGGGGTGTGGTCACAATACAATCCGTTTTCCTCCACTTCTCTGTTCTGATAGGATTCTGGGGATGCATGCGGACACACTGGTGTGTTTTTCAAGCCACCAAACTGGGATTCAGACCATAGTCAGCCACGTGGGATTCACCTTCCTGTGCACTGCACTTAAATGCTGCACTGTGGGGCTGGCCAGTATAGTATATATTCTTTTTCAAATAATGATTTTATTAAACCCTAGCAATAGAAGAGAGCATGTATCAAAGTATGCATAGTATTGCTCAAAAATGCTCTGAAAACTCAAGAGGGGTAGGACCCCACATCAGCCAGGGCTAAGTTCCCAGGTGTACTATAGGTCAGGCCTGCAAACTTTCTTTGTCAAGGGCTGGACGGCTAGAGTTTAGGTTATGTGGCAACACCGGCCCTGTGGAGCACTCAGCTCTGCCATTGTAGTGCAGGCTCCAGCAATAAAGGAATAAGCTGGCTGTGTCCAACACAACTATTTTGGATGGTGGAAATTGAGTTTCATATCATTTTCATGTACTGTTATTCCTTTAAATTATTTATTATTTTTAGAGCGATATTTTGCTATAGTGTGCACTTGGTCATTGTAGAGACAGACAGAAAGCAAGAAATCACCCCCAGGGTGTGTGGCCATGCCTCAATACCTTTTCTTCTGTTCTCCTCTCGGGATTTTGGGCACATATGCACATGCGCCCTGGTGTGCATTTTAAACCACTGGATCCAGGACTCAAACCGTGGTCAACTACGTGGGAGTGCAGTGACAGAACCATTACGCCATCTGCTGGTCCCCTTTTAAATTATATTTTAACCATTCTTAGCCTGTGGATTGTACAAAAGCAGTTGGGCCAGTTTGGCCTATAAGGTCGTAGTTTGCCACTGTGGTATAGAGGGCAGTCATAGAGCACATGCTTGGGCAATATGGGCCAGCCTGACGTGGCAGAGCATCCCCGCTACCTTCAAAGACCGTGGGTGCTCCCAAGCACGTCCTCCTCCACAGTCTCCATGCCAGTGCCACTGTGTTAGTGCAGCCTACGGAACTCTCCTCTTTTTTTTTTTTTTTGAGAGATTTTCACTGTAGGGCGCGTGCGCTCGCCAGACAGAGAGAGACATAGAGACAGAAAGCAAGAAATCACCCCCCAGGGGGGATGGTCACGCCGCAATCCCTTCTCCTCCATTCTCCTCTTGGGATCTTGGGCACGCATGCACACGCGCCCGGCGTGAGTTTTAAGCCACCAGGTCCGGGACACGAACCGCGGTCGACTACATGGGAGTCCAGCGACATAGCCATTACGCTAACTGCTGGTTCCCCGGAACTCTCCTCTTGAACTCACTCCCTCAGTCCGCTTAGCCTTCTTCATGCACTTGTCACCATCTGATGTCCTTAAGTATTTTACTTCGGTTTTCGTTCCTTTTTCATTTGGCTACAAGATAAACTTTGTGAGTGTAAAATACCTGTTCACTGCTATGTCCCTAACATTTCAAACAATGGTCATTGAGTGGATATTGTGTTTATCATTTTTTTAAAAAAAGAATTATTTAATTTCATTTGTTGTTATTTTTTAATTTGACCAAATTGAGAGAGAAAGAGAGAAAGGGAAAGTGAGAAAGCAAACCTCCAGGTCTGGGACTCAAACCATGGTTGACCAAATGGGAGTCCAGCACTTTAACCCCTATACTACCTGCTGGCCCCTCTTTGTGTTAGTTTTGTCTGTTTTGAACTTTGTATTAACTGAACCACACTGATTTTTATAAGACTTTTCCCTCCACTCAGCACTATGATTCTGAGATACCTGTGCTGCCATAATGTAGTTGGTGTTCATTCATTTTCACTGTGGTATAGTCTAGTCTCAGTCCTGTGCATTTGGGTGTCCAGACTTTGGCCACTGCAGACGTTGCCACACATGTGTGAACGTTCCAGTGGCTTGCAGGCATGGACATGTTCAGCCCATGTATTTGAGAGTGTGGCTGCGGGGTTATGGCACTGGCCAGTCTTTAACCTGACCAGTTGCTGCCACATTACTTTCCTGAGTAGTTGGACAAATTTATATCCCACTGATATGTGACTCTTGGTTTACGTTCTTTTTTTTTTTTGAGAGATTTTCACTGTAGGGCGTGTGCGCTCGCCAGACAGACAGAAAGAGACAGAGAGACAGAAAGCGAGAAATCACCCCCCAGGGGGGATGGTCACGCCGCAATCCCTTCTCCATTCTCCTCTCGGGATCTTGGGCACGCACGCACACGCGCCTGGCGTGAGTTTTAAGCCACCGGGTCCGGGACACGAACCGCGGTCGACTACGTGGGAGTCCAGCGACATAGCCATTACGCTAACTGCTGGTTCCCATTGGTTTACGTTCTTATCAGTAGTGTATTTTCCTCTTTCTCAGTTTGTTCTGAGCGGATGTGTCTTTTTTATTTTTTTGGGGGGAGAGGTTTTTGCTGTAGGATGTGTGCGCTCTCCAGAAAGACAGAGAGACAGAAAGCGAGAAATCACCCCCCAGGGGGGATGGTCACGCCGCAATCCCTTCTCCATTCTCCTCTCAGGATCCTGGGCACGCACACACACGTGCCTGGCGTGATTTTAAGCCACCGGGTCCGAGACTCGAACTGCAGTAGACTATGTGGGATTTCAGCGACATAGCCATTACAGTGTGAACTGCTGGTCCCCTGAGTGGATGTGTCTTTTTTATTTTTTTGGGGGGAGAGGTTTTTGCTGTAGGATGTGTGCGCTCTCCAGAAAGACAGAGAGACAGAAAGTGAGAAATCACGCCCCAGAGGAATGGCCAAGCCACAATTCCTTCTCCTCCATTCTCCTCTCAGGTTATTGGGTGCGCATGCACACGTGCCCGGCATGAGTTTAAGCCACCAGATCTGGGACTTGAACCTCAGTCGACTACATGGGAGTCCAGAGACATAGCCATTACGCTAACTGCTGATTCCTAGATGTGTCTTAATACCTTGCTATGACTCAATTTGAATTTCTCTTGTTGCAGATGGTGTTGCACCTCTTTTAGTATATTGATTGGCCATATCTGTTTTCTCTTCTGTAAGGGACCTATGAAGCCTTCGATCTAAATTCCTTTTTCTGTGTAGCTGTTCTTATACAGACTTATAGTTGTTTTTCTGTGTTTGGATTACAGTCTTTTATTATTGTACATTTTTCTCAGTTTGTGGTTTGTCTTTTTACCTTTGAGTTGTTTTGGAACTAAAGTTCTTAATTTTAACATTACTGACTTTATCATTTTTTCCTGTATGATTAGTAGTTTCCTTTTTTTTTGTTTCACTTAAGGAATCCTAACCCAAGCGCTGAATTTGGATGTGAGATATTTTTATTTAGTTCTTAAAGTATTTATTGCTCTATTCAATAAATATGTTCAATATTTAAGCATGTTTTCTAATTTCTAGCAAGAGTCTTTTGATGATTTAGGATTTATTATAAATTGTTTGATAAATTCCAAATGAATGGATTTTTTTCATTCTATCTTGTGACATACTTCTAAAACTGGATCGTAGTTAAAAATGTGTGTGTGTGGTATCAGTTCTTGGGAATTGATGTTATCTGACATAAACCCATAACACAGTTGAGTTTGGCTGAGATCTTGGTCCTCAGAAGCTTCTGGACATAATAGCAAAGGTTAAACTCCATTTATGCATAATTTGTACCTTGATTGTGGGGGAAAATTAATCAATTATTAGACTTTTTAGTTTTATGTATTTTGGATGTGTGCATGTGTTTGTGGTATTTAGACAGTTGTGATCTTCCTGTCTCAGGCTTATGACTTTAAGGGTAAGCTCTGGGAATCAAACCCAGGCCTCAATTGGCCTCTCCCTGCTGAGCAACAGTTTTCAGTGGAGCTACTGTGATGGGCCTAAGTTTGCTTGCTTGCTTTTTTTTATTTCCTAGAATGATTTATTTCATTTATTATTTTTTAATTTGATGAGAGAGAGAAAATGAGAAAGCAAGCCACCAGGTCTAGGACTGAACTGTGTTCGACTATCTGGGAGTCCAGCACTTTAGCCACCATATCACTTGCCAGCCCCAGGGCTAGACTTTTTTTGAAAAGTTAATAGAAGTTTCTTACATTTCATATTTCTTTTTCTTTTTTTTTTTTCTTTCTTTTTTTTTTTTTGCCTCTGGAAACATTTGTGTTATTTACATTACCACTTTGGACTCTGTTCTACTCAAGCTGAAGCTTACAGGCAAGGGCCTACTTCAGCTGCCAGTTTGGTTTAGCTTGGCTGACAGACAGGTTTGTGGTGGGCTGCAGCTGCTTTTCTCTCAGTGGCATTTGTTAATTAAGCTGTTTGATTTTATGTTGCTGTTCAAGGACTGACTCTTAAATTTGTGATTATTCTGAGACCTTTTGGCCTTGTGCTTATTTTGAGTGTCCATTTCTTTCTTTCTTTCTTTTTTTTTTTAAGTTTGTTTCTACAGATGGAGAGGGAGGGACCCCAACAGGATCTCCATATCGGGATCCTCCTTGGCCTCAGCCAGCCGGCATCACAGGTGTGTGTGTGTGTGCGTGCGTGCCCCATGTGTACAGGGAGGCCTCGGTACACCAAACAGGGACCTTCCCGTGTGGGTCCAATGTTGCAGAGCATTGGGTTACCCTGTACCACCATCTGGCCCCTTGTTTTTATTTTCAAAAAGTAGCATCAACTTGAAAAAGTCCAAGTTAAATAATGGGTCAGAATTTAAATTTTATCCTTACCCTAAAGTCTGAGGCATTAGTAATTAGTGATTGAAAGTATTTACGTATTGTAATTTGTGTAGAAAGGCAGATTTGTTTAAAGAAACAGACCTAGGTTCACATATTGGTTCTCTGCTTTTAACGTGTGGCTTTTGGTCAGTTATATCATTCCCAAGCTTCTCAGTGGCCTTTTCTATAAAATGTAGTCTTTATGATCTCAGCCTTTGAGGTTATGTGCACAACTGTTTGTAAAGTAGTGTCTAAGTTCATTATTGTGTTGCTAAATGGAAATACCTGACACTGGATGATTTATAAATAATAGACGTTTTGGTTCATGGTTCTGGTGGCTGGAAAGTCCAAGAGTGTGAGGCTGGCATGGGACTGGCTTCTGGTTCTGTGTTACAACATGGTCCACAGCACCAGGATGGTTAGCAGACACCTGTAGGGAGTAACAGACACCTGAGGACAGCACTGTCCTTTTTTTAAAAGTGTATTTATTCCACAAGAGAGAATATATAGCATTCTTAACAGGCTCAGTTTCATGGTCCATCCCCAGCTTTAGTCAGCCCCTCATCATGGACACATGTGCTGGTGAGCTCAGGGGGGTTCTGGATGTAAACCAGCACCCTTCGCTGTGGGTCTGCCTCTCTAAGAGAGGCTATGCTACCATCTGGCCTATCTTTTATTTTTATAACCACTTGCTGTCCAGGATCTGACTCCTCCTACCTATGAGAAAGTGAACTCATTCCCTGTCATGAGGCAGCACTAATCTCATGAAGTCGATGTCTCCATGATCGAAACTCCGGTAGGCCTGACCTCTAAAAGATCTTACCACCTCCTAAAGCCATTACATTGGGGACCAAATTTCAGTACATGAATTTTGGGGGACACACCAGTTGTAAGGTGTCAGTATCTTAAGTAGACTTACATAGTGTTTTTCTACTGAAGACCTGATGCTATCATCCACTTAGGTTTCACCAGTTTATACTTCATCTGGTTCATTCAGTTAATTCATTCAGCATCTCTTAAATACTGTTTTGTGCCTGGCGCAGTATTACCCCCAGGGAGTGTGGCCATGTGGGGGAGCGAGACTAATGCAGCTCCGTGATTGGGTATAGCGATGCGCTCTGAGAACCCGGAGGGGGAGTCCCTAGTGATCCTTGTGCTAGGGCTGGCTGACTTCTCTGATAAGGTGCATCAGTGAACACTTGAGGCTTTGCAGGCCATGTATATGGCTCATCACATATATATATAGTCTTTCTTTCCTTTTTAATTTTTCCCTTAAGCATCTTTAAAACTAAAACCATTCTTAGCCTAGGAACTATACAGAAACTGGCTGTGGACCAGATGTGGGGCCCTTTTGTAGAAGTTAGTACAGTGGAAGATAGGAGTCGGCAAGGGCGTTCCATTCACATGCAAAGGCATGACCATATGAGAGGCTGGGCTCTTTTTTAGAACTGAAGATTTTTATCTTGGTTGAAGTATGGGTCAGGTTAGCTCAGGGAGGAAATACAGCATGTATTAGGCAAGGGCAAATCGGTTTGCACTCAATTCTGATACACACTATTTCATGACCTAGAACTATACACGGATCTCAATGGCAGGAGGATGGCTGGACTAGAGCCTTCAGGATCAGTGAGGAAGGTCTGACAGTGATTCACACTGAATGGGGAAAGGAACCAAAGGTTTGTCCTTAAGGAAGTAGCTTGCCTTTCTTGGAGCTCGGAAAGCGAAAAGGGCAAAGTTCAGAGGTCCTAGTTAGTTCAGAGGTCCTATTTAACAGTTTGTGTGTTTCTTTAATTATGTAATTACGTTGTATAAGTAGATGAAGAAGGCCTTAAGGAAGGGTATGACTAGAGAAGCGGAGAGAAAGGATTGGTTTAAAGCCTATTTCAGAATTAATCTGCAGGCTTTGGCCAAGAAAATGAAATGGCAGGGTTGGGAGGGAGTGAGTCCAGGGTAATTCTAGGATGGCTCCTAGAGTTCTCCTTTGGTGATGAATTCTTGAAGCTCTTTTTTATTTTATTTATTTATTTATTTATTTTTGGAGAGGTTTTTGCTATCAGGTACCTGCGCTTGCCAGAAAGACAGAGAGACAGAAAACGAGAAATCACCGCACCCCATCCCCCCAATCCCCCACCCCGCCTGGGGGTGGTGGGGGGATGGCCACACCGCAGTCCCTTCTCCATTCTCCTCTTCGGCTCTTGGACACGCACGCACATGCACCTGGTGTGAGTAAGCCACCGGATCCAGGACTCAAACCACGGGAGTCCAGCGACTTAGCCATTACACCAACTGCTGGTATCGTTCTTTTTGATTATATTATTTTTTTTCATGGAACATACTAGTTAGCAAACAGTTGTTTTGTTTTGTTTTGGAGAGGTTTTTCGCTATAGGGTGCGTGCGCTCGCCAGACAGAGACAGAGAGACAGAAAGCGAGAAATCACCCCCTGGGTGGTGGCCCCACTGCACTCCCTTCTCCTCCCTGGATCTTGGGCACGCACGTACATGCGCCCGGCGTGAGTTTTAAGCCACCGGGTCCGGGACGCGAACCGCGGTCGACTACGTGGGAGTCCAGCGACATATCCATTACGCTAACTGCTGGTCCCAGCAAATAGTTGTTTTGAGGAGGGCATGTTCTGTCCTAAGTTCATGGCCCCCTGAAATTGTAAGCAGAATTGTGTATGAGAGTTGTTTTCCCTGAGGAGAGGATGCTAGAACTTTCACGGGAGAATCAGAAGGAGCCTGTCTAACCGGGAGGAACCCTCCTTGGTGTTGCCTGGCACATAGCTGGTGTACTGCAAAAGTTTGTGGTGGTAAGGGGACGCTAACCATTCGCATCATGGGAGTTGCCCTTTACATGCAGTGCATTCCAAGCTGCCAAGTAAAATGCAAACATATGCAGCTGTTTCCACAGCTGAACTCTTTATCGACCAGCAGGTGAATTGAATGGTTTTTCCTGGCTTCTCCTCCGTCTCCCAGCAGATAAAACAAGATTTTTTTTTTTTAAATTTATATATTCTATGAGTGAAAGAGAGAGAAAGAGTGAAATGTGCGTGCAAGTGAGAGCGAGCTCATCCCAACAGGATCTTAATGCCGTGATCCACTCCCAGCCTCAGCCAGCCTGGATCATGTGGACATATGTGCTTGGCATGCTAAGAGTTCTCTGTGTGAACCGGTAACCTTCCCACATGGGTCTGCCTCACAGAACATAGCATTTTACTGCTATGCCACCACCTGGCCCTGAAGGCAAAGTCTATATTTGATTCGTAGAAGGCAGCCCGATATTGGGGCTCTGTCTGGTGCAGAATGTGTTCAGCATGCTGTTGAACAGCAAGCAGAGCTGAAGCTGTGGCCTATCAAGCTCATCTTCATAGTCACGTGGCTGTGAGGAATGGCATCACTTTTAAGTAGTATGTACACCAAAAACAAGTGTAGTTCCCCCAGTCAGGTTAGAAATGCCTGAATAATGCGTTGTAAAAGAGTGCCTAAGTCGTGTTGTCAGCTCTCAGATAAACACGAGCAGGAGAAACAGGGCAGCTGAGGAGTCAGTTGTTGAAATAGGAGCATCAGACAGGTTAAACTGGTGTTCTGGAGTCCACACTGGATTGGTTCATATTGGTGTCTTCATTATTATGTGTAATGTGGGACTTCTTAGAGACTACAGATAACAGTCCCTGCAGAGACCTGGTGAACTTGGTGAGAGATAGCCGCCCCTAATATGGTAAAACTTAGAGGAGAAATTGGAGATGGAGCTACCTCTGAGAGCTTCTCCTTTCCTGTTGAAAAAAAATTGTGACTTTTGTTAAGAACAAAGTGTCAAAAAAAAAAAAAAAGAAAAAAAAGGCAAAGTGTCATGAATGACAAAAGATGTAAGAAATAATGGAATCCAGCCATGATACAGAGCTCAGAAGTGAAAACTTAGACCATTTCGACTTTCACTCCTGGATTTCAAACTGGGAATAATTGCGATCCTGGCATAGGCGGAAGTCTCGAATCTGAATCTACTCTGCATAGGCCATAGCAAATTTTAGGTGGCAATTTCGCTTTTTGCTTTGGAAAAAGTAGCATTAGTTGTATACTCAGGAATTGAGTTGAAAAATGAAGATAGCAGAAGTAACTTAGTTTAAATGCAAGTCGTTTACATATGAACTTGTTTTAATTTGATAGAAGGTGTATGCCCTGTAGGAGAGAGGCAGTGAGAGAGTGAGAAAGCACCCCGATGGGGGATGGTCATGCCACAGTTCCCTCTTCCCCATCTCTCCCTCCTTTTGGGATTTTGAGCATACACACACATGCATCTGGCATATTTTTCAGTTGCTGAGTCTGGGACTAGCTGTATAGTTGGCCCTATGGGATCTAGCTGCCCTCTCCACCATACTGCCAGCTGGCCCATGAATTAATTTTTGACAGCTTGTGGTTAGTGAAGAATTGATATATTTTATTTTCAGCTATCCTCCAAAACTCTTTTTTTGACCCTCTTAATAGAAAGCATTAAGACTTTTCCGCTGGGTTTTGCCCCCCTTTATTCCAGTTGCTTCAAGTAATCTAAAATTTTAGGGACAAATACACATCTAGGGTCTAGAGCTCTCTAGGGGTAAGGAAATAACCAGAGAAAGTAAATGACCATTCGATGGTAAGTCAGCGGGGAGAGCTCTCGTTGTCTTCGCCGTCTTGACCTTTAGCTCATTGTGACTATTGCAGGCAAGAAGCATGTGAACACAGCTTATAAAATTCAGCTTTCCAGTATGTGCAACTTTTCAACAGGAATACGTTCTGAGAAATGTTAGCTGATTTTATTATTGTGCAAGTACCCTAGAGTGTACTTACATAAACCTGGATGGTACAGTCCACTGTGTACCTTGGCTATAGAGAGTTAGCCTATACACTCCTCATGGGACCACCATTGTGGATGCTGTTACTGGTTGACCCAAACATCCTTACGGAGCAAATGACTGCACTTGATAGACAGAAGATTGAAACAGTCAATGTGCTAAGAAGTGGATGTGTTGACGTAGAAATGAAAAGTTAGTTGCTGGTGATAATGTTTATGGTAGTGTCTTTGCTGTTACTGATATGCACTGTATTTGTGCTGGAAAAAACCATGTATACTGTAAGGATGTATATTAATTAAATGTAAATAATGTATATTTAAAAAATAAAAAAGAAATGAACATGATGGAATCTACTGCCTAAACTCTTTTTTTTTTTTTTTTTTTGAGAGGTTTTTGCTATAGGCCGCGTGCGCTCGCCAGACAGACAGAGAGAGACAGAAAGCAGGAAATCACCCCCCAGGGGGGATGGCCACGCCGCAATCCCTTCTCCTCCATTCTCCTCTCGGGATCTTGGGCACGCATGCACACACGCCCGGCGTGAGTTTAAGCCACCGGGTCCGGGACTCGAACCGCGGTCGACTACGTGGGAGTCCAGCGACATAGCCATTACGCTAACTGCTGGTCCCATGCCTAAACTCTTTTTCAATTCAAGTAATTCGTAGTTTCCAGTCACTTGCTTACTTCCACACTACTTTAGATATTTGAGGATTGACCAACTTGCATATTCTTAAGTTGTCCTAAAGGTATGATGTGTTTTTCTTTTCTTTCTTTCTTCCTTCCTTCCTTTCTTTCTTTTTTTTTTTTTTTTAACAGAGATTAGAGAAATTTTTTTTGCTAGGGGGTGTACTCTTGCAGGAGAGACAAAGCAAGAAATCATTCCCCAGGGAGGATGGCTATGGTGCAATCCTTTCTCTGCCATTCTTCTCTTAGAATTTTGTGCATGCACACACATGTTCCTGGCATGAGTTTCAAGCCTCCAGATGTGGAAAACGAACCATGGTTGGCTGTGTGGGAGTTCAGCACCTTAACCTATGCCAACTGTTGTCCCCTATGATGTGATTTTTATTTTTTTAATGTAAAAATGCGTCACGACTTTCCCAACAACCCAATATATATCTTCTAAGTTTTTGTTTTGGTTTGTTTTTGGTAGAGAGTACATGTACTTGCCAGAGATAGAGGGAGAGGGGAAAGCACCCTCTCCCCCACATTGTGGTCACATTGCAGTCCCATCTTCATCTCTCCCTCCATTCGCGATTTGGGGCATGCATGCACACACACCCAGCAGTGTATCTTAAACTGCTGGGCCCAGGACTTGAATCGTGTGGTCAGCCGCATGGTATACAGTTACCTTAACCACCAAGCCATGACTTAGTTTTAAAATACTGTAAGTTACTGAAAACTAAGTTTTTTTTTTTTTTTTTTTTTTTAGAGTTTTTTTTTTTGAGAGATTTTTGCTATAGGGTGCATGTGCTTGCTAGAAAGACAGACAGTGAGAAATCACCCCCCAGGCGGGATGGCCACGTTGCAATCCCTTCCCCTCCATTCTCCTCTCGGAATCTTGGGCACGCATGCACACGTGCCCGGTATGAATTTAAGCCACCGGATCTAGGACTCGAACCACAGTCGACTACATGATAGTCCAGCGACATAGCCATTACACCACTACTGGTCCCGAAAACTAAGTTTTAAAATACTAAAACAGGGACCAGCAGTTGGCTGGTAATGGCTATGTTGCTGAACTCTTGGTATGATTTTCAAGCCCCTGGGTCTGGGACTGGAACCGTAATTGGCCATGTTAAGAGTCCAGTGCCTTGACCACCATGCCACCCACTGACCCCAATGCTTGCATTTTAAACTAGCATCCCTATTGTTGATAAATACTGTTCTAGCATTAGTGAAAGTCTGTTATAAATTATGGGCCTGTAGTTTGAGAGAGCCCCAAGACTACCTGCAAGTTCAGTGATCAAAGAACACTCAGAACTCGGAAAAGCCACTGTGCTTAGGGTGAATGTTTATTACAGAGGAAGGATGCAGAGTAACATTGCAGAGGGAAGGCACACAGGACAGAGTCCAGGAGGTGCGGGAGTAGCTGGCACTGGTCCTCTCTAGGTGCTGTCATGGGACAGCACTTGCTCTGCCTGGCAGAGCTGTGTGGCAGCAGGCATGGGGTATTGCTAACCAGGGAGGCTCACCTGAGCCTTGGTGTTGGGTTTTCTGGGGGTCACCACACAGCATGGCTGACTACCTGCATGGTTAACATGAATCCCAAGCTCCTCCGGAGATCAAGCCGGTATCACATGGTCTGATGTTCCCAGGTAAATAAAGGACCAAACTTTCCTTTGGGCAGCTTTGATCTTTTATTGTCTAAGGCCCAGGAAAGCAAAATATTATTTCTGTCAAGTGTAAGAATTCTTTTTTTTTTTTTTTTTTTTTGCTTTTAGGTAGAAAGATACATTGCAACTACATGCAGTATCATTTACCACAAAATTGAAAAATTAGAATTTTGACACACTAGTGAGGAACCCCTCCGGAGGAGTGTCGTATTCGACACTGTCCTAATGTTTCTGTCAGGGATTTGAATAAAGAGCAGGAGACATGCTGGGAGACAGCTCATTTTTAGAATTAGCATTTTAAATGTTTAGACAGGTCGTAATGAAATATTAGACTCATAAGGTAAAATTTATCAGGAATATATGTAAAATGGCAGACTTAAAAAAGAAAACTGACAAAGTTAAAGATGGGCAAAAAATGGCTTAATGGTACTTGTGTGCAGAAGACCTGGAGTTTGAGTTGATTAAAACAGGGCTTGGTGGAGCCAGCTGGTGACATGGTGGACTCCCACACGGCCGACTGCAGTTCGAATCCTGGACCTGGCAGCTCTCTTTTTCAGTTCTCCTCTGTCTGTTTCTGTTTCTCTCTGGTCAAATTAAAGGGTGATCATAAATAAAAATAAAATAATTCCTTTTTAAAAAACAAATTGGTGGGACCAGCAGTTAGTGTAATGGCTATGTCGCTGGACCTCCCACGTAGTCGACCGCGGTTCGCATCCTGGACCCGGTGGCTTAAAACTCAGGCCGGGCACGTGTGCGTGCGTGCGTGCCCAAGATCCCGAGAGGAGAATGGAGGAGAAGGGATTGCAGCGTGGCCATCCCCCCTGGGGGGTGATTTCTTGCTTTCTATCTCTCTGTCTCTCTGGCGAGTGCACGTGCCCTATGGCAAAAACCTCTCCAAAAAAAAGAAAAAAAAACAAATTGGTGAACTTCTCTGTAAAGTGGTAAATATTTTAGTTTTTCTGAAGTAGTAATCAAAGTATGGATATTATGTAGGTGCTTCTACAAGGGGGGACTTCAATATGGTAATAGAAAATAAAATTGAAGCATGAATTCACTTTGGCACAAGAAAACATTTTTTTTAATTTGTGACAGTTTTTTTTTTTCATAATACACATTGCCCTTGAACTTTTTGAAGACTCTGCATAAGAGAAAACAAATTTCCACAAATTTTCATTAACAAAATTAAAAATGTAATAATAATCATTGAGTATAATTTTTTTATAATACAGATCTACTAATGAGAAGAATAGACTTTTTGTAGGGAAGGAGGGGGTGGATAAGATTTTGCTTGATTGCAGTTCAAAGTCAGTGTCCCTATTATCAAAATCAGTTACAAATGTCCATCTCTTAATTCTGTTCTGCTAGGAGATTTTGCATATTTCATCTTTGAAAACGTCTTCACACTGATAGGTTCTCAAGAATACTGATGCTAGTCCAGGAGTATATTGCTTAATCGAGCATATTCAGCGCTTGGAAGGCTTTTATAGAGTTCTGTTTGGTTCTTCTTGATGTTTGCCTTTTAGCATGTTATTACATTGCAGGTTAATCATAACTAGTGGTTAGATGGAAGCACCTCAGTTGTATAATTAAATGGATTTTAAAATATGTAAATTTTCCTTGTATTTGTATCAGGGTTTGAAAGATGGTGCTAGAACTCATTTTAACTAAAAAAAAAAAAAAAACCCAAACTAAATTTGCATGAACTCTTTTTGTTTTAACTTTTGACAGCATAAAGAAGCTTGACATTACTTGCGATTCAAATGTTAGCTGTCATTGAAATGACTTTACTTCAGTGTAAGTTCCTCATGTAAGTACTTGTTTTGCCTTGTAAATTTAAGATGAATTCATTAAGAAACATTATCAAGTCTGTAGCAAAAACCACTTTTCTAAGCTGTTCAGCATTTGATGGCACTTATAAGTGAGGGAGGTTCTATTCTTCAGAAAAATTTCTATCTTGGCTGAGGTCAAAAAGTTATAAAAATCTAACAAATTATTTAACTGCTTTGTGGTAGAAGTCAGGATATACAGATTTTAATTGATAAAAATTCAAGGAGCTGAGAGTGGTCAAGTCCACAAGAGTTGATTAAATTCGCTGTTGTTGCTACAGGTACTACTTGCTGATGAATATTACAGGGAATAACCCTAGGTTTTAAACATATTTTCATAATCTTTGTAAGTTTGTATAGTTAATCATTTCTCTGCTCTCTCCGTATTTTTACTGTCATTAGTTGTAATCCATCTTAGCAGATTTTGCTTCCGGTTGTACTGAGTCAGTGTTTTCTCAGCTACTTTGAAAATACTCTTTTTTTAAAAAAAAAAAAAGAGATTTTTGCTTTAGGGCATATGCGTTCACCCGAGAGAGAGAGAGAGACAGAGACAGAGACAGAGACAGACAGAAAGCAAGAAATCACCCCTCAGGGGGTTGGCCACACCACAGTTCCTTCTCCTCCATTCTCTTCTTTTGATCTTGGGCATGCACGCACATGCGCCTTCCCTGAGGTTGAAGCTGCTAGGTCCAAGACTCAAAAGACTCTGCCATGTGGGAGTCCACAATGTAACCATTATGCCATCTGCTAGTCCCTGAAAATATTACCTGTAGTTTCATATAGACTATCCTTAGAGGCTAATTCTTCAGTCAGTTAAAACTCAATGTTGACTCCCTGAATAAACAACAGAGCATTCTTAGTAACATCTGTCATCTAATCAATAGCTAAGGAAAACCAAAATCATCTGCCCTTTTTTTTATTATTAATATTATTATTATTATTTTTTGGAGAGGTTTTTGCTATAGGGCGCGTGCACTAGCCAGACAGAGAGAGACATAGAGACAGAAAGCGAGAAATCACCCCCCCCAGGGGGGATGGTCACTCTGTAATCCCTTCTCCTCCATTCTCCTCTCGGGATCTTGGGCACACACGCACATGCGCCCCGCGTGAGTTTTAAGCCACCGGGTCCGGGACGCGAACTGCGGTCAACTACGTGGGAGTCCAGCGACATAGCCATTACTCTAACTGCTGGTTCCCTTTATTATTATTTTTAAGAGAGAGATTTTTGGTACAGGGTGTTGTAGGCTCACTGGAGAGACAGAGAGACAGAAAGTGAGAAATCACGCCCTAGGGAGATGGCCACACTGCAGTCTCTTCCCCTCCACTCTCCTGTCTGGATTTTGGGCACGCACACATGCGTGCCAGTTAAGAATTTCCAGGTGTTGACTGCAGTTGGCCATGTGGGAATCCAGCAACCTAACCATTACACCCTCTGCTGGTCCCAGTCTGCTTTACTTTTTAATTAACAATTGATGTTCCAAATACATTCGACTCCTAGAGCAACCGTTCTCACTCAAAGTCTAATAGTTTTTCTTTTTTAGTTGCCAGAGGGCATATGTGCTCACTAGGAAAGACCAAGAGACAGGAAAGTCTTAAGTTTTAAACAAATGTACTTTTTCTTCACCCATTTCTTTGTCTGTTGCAGTCAAACATAGTTCATCATCATTGTGGTTTGAGCAGAGAACTGACAGCATCTGATTTAGATTTGATTTGTCTGCCGGGTTGACAGTAGGCCCTAGAGCAGTTGGGGCAGAAGCAAGGGACCTGTCAGGTGGCCGTTTCAATTGTTTGGATGAACATGATGGTGTGTCAAGTTAGGATGGTGTTGGTGGACATGGAACAAAGTGGACAGTTTCTGGGTAGATTTGGCAGGAAGAGCTGACATTATTTGCTGACTAGATTGGATGGGAGAGAGTGGGAGATATCTCTATAACGAAGGTGCAGAGGAGCAGGTCAGTACCTAACCTTAGATAACTGTTGGGTATTTTATTCGCTTATTTTGGTGGTTTCATTTGTCTTAAGGATGTAGAAGCTGGTCCTGATGTATCCATCAGGGTTTGGCCAGTAAAACAGAAGCTGCTCTACAAACTTAGTACAGGAATTGGAATCCTTCACTACTGTTGGAAGTGCTAGGAGACCTCAAAGTCACGGCAGCAGGTGTGTAGTGAGCACGCCCCACAGGCTTGGTCTTCTGTCGTGGTACTGGCAGTTAGAGCACCTCTGTTTTCAGTAGTTAAAGTGGGTTTGCTCCTGAGGTCTTGATCAGAAGCCAGGGAGAATTCTCAGAAGTTGTTCTAGGCTTAGTGGCTAAAGTAGAGGAGTTCTACCCTCCCCTCCCCAAGACTAATGTTCTCTTTCATTACTGTGCCTTTTTTTTTTTTTGGAGAGGTTTTTGCTATAGGGTACGTGCTCTGGCCAGAAAGACAGAGAGAGACAGACAGAAAGTGAGAAATCACCCCCCCAGGGGGATGGCCACACCACAATCCCGTCTCCTCCTTTCTCCTCTTGGGATCTTGGGCACACACACACACAACACACACACCCGGTGTGAGTTTAAGCCACTGGGTCCAGGACTTGAACCATGGTCAACTACATGGGAGTCCAGTGACATAGCCATTATGCTATGCTAACTGCTGCCTCCCCCCACTTTTTAAAAGGATTTTGCCATAGGGTGCATGCGCTCAACATAGAGAGAAAATGAGAAATCACTCTCCAGGGGGAATGACTGTGTCACAGTCCCTTCTCCTTTATTCACATCCTGGGATTTTAGGCACACTTGCAAACGTGCCTGGCTTGGTTTTCAAGCTGACAGGTATGGGGACTCGAACAGTGGTCAGCCATGTGGGAATCCAGTGCCTTAACTGCTATACCACCTGCTGGCCTCGCACCAGCGCCTCTTAATATTAATTCCGAGTTGCAGCAGGAAGGGGTTTCTGGGAAATGCAGTCCCAGCTTCTCTGTGATGCACAGGCTAGCATGGCAGTGGTGCAGGGTGAACAAGTCAGTCTGACACAGCACCTTAAGCACCTGGATATACAAGTTGGGATTTTGGAAGAGAGATCTGAGCTAGAGTTAGCATTGAGATAGCACTTAAAGTGAACTTTCCTTGGTCCACCCACAAGTGGGACAGGCACTGTTGCATTATGCGGGAGACCCTGTGGGAAGGCTCCTGGTTGGTTCTGAGGCTTCCTCAACATGGCAGGTGTGTCTATGTGGCATGTCTGTGATCCTTGCTGACTTCGGGTTGGGGGAGGATTGCATTGTGGTGACCCTGTTGGCGAGTGATGAGCTGTTTGTTGCTGTTGACAGGCCAAGTAATACCTGAATATCTTCCACTGGGTGAAGGAGTGTGGAGGTCATTGATAACTTGCATAGAGAAGTTTTGGTGGAGGGGAGGGAGCCAGAGCCAGGGAAGAGAAGAATTTGTGATAATGGAGTATCTTGTGTATTTGTGTGTCCGTGTATGTGTGCTTGTTTATAGGACTATTTGTTTAATAGCTGCTGTGAAGTCTTTGTGGGATAATTTTAACATTTATGTCATCTTGATGTTGGCTTATCTTGATTCTTTTTCACATAGAGTTGAGATTTCCCTGTTCTTCCTATGCTAAGAGAGTTTGGATTGTATCCTTTACATTTTGTATATTCTGTTAGGAGACTCTGGGTTTTGTTTAAATCTGCCGATTTGGTGGTGGTTTGAATATCCGTCTTCTCTAATCTACCTGCTTCTGTTTATGTTCCAAAGTCATCAAGTAGCTTCTGTGATTTTCTAGTTGCTTCGTCCTGCTCGGCTTGGAGCCCTTCGTTTTGCTTCCATCACTCAGTGGTCTCCAGGTTTAGCTGGGCCAGGGTGCCCAAATGATTCATGTCCTTTGACAGGTATCTGGCCTGGTTCCTACAGGAGCTGCTTCTCTGAATTACTTTTTGGCTTTGATTCACAGATGGATCCTTCTTTTGGAGTTTCCTCCCTTAGTTCTTCTTTTTGATGTCTTTCTCAGGTAGACAGCATCACCTTATCAAATACCATGATAGCAACTATTGATAGTTGCTTAGTATGATTGAACGATGACCTCATCTTAAATGTATTGACTGTGCCTGTTGGTTTCAGTAGAATAGTGTTTAACATTTTAAGTCTTTCACACAATAAAATTTTATGGAGACATTGTTTGCAGCACAGTATAGAACAGTGATGAAGAACAGTCTTGGACACATTTTGCCTTGCTTTTCAGAGCTTATCTTGTTCCCTGCATGATGATCTCTAAGTTATTTAACCTCTCTAAATCTTTTTTCTCATCTGTTAAGTAGAGATTATCATAACTTCCATAAATGTGGTATAACACACAATTCTTAGCACATGCTACTCATATAAATAATTAAAAAACTTACCTTTTAAGACAGAATCAGCCTGATGTTCAGCAAATATAGTTCCTGACAGTGTAATTATTTCAGCTCTGGGAACTTAAAGGCTCCTCCCCATCTTTTCCTGATTTCTGTTGATGTATAAACTGGAAAGCAGTTTATAACGGGATGCTGGAAAAGTCATGACACATTTTTGCATGGAAAAACATGTCATGATTTTTCCGACAACCCAACACTTGTTACTCGGTCTGCATACAAAATGAGCAGTTTATTATTAGTGTTGTTAATATTGTATTTTCAAAATTCAGTAACTGTACAGCTTCTTTTCCCATAATGTAATCATTTACTGAGTGGCTTAGTACCAGTTAGATGGTAACCTGCCAAGCACTGGCCCAGAGATAAACAAGACCAGTATCTCTCCCCTAGCCGCTCCACAGTCTAGTATTAAAATATTTTTGGCTAGGAAGTTATTTTGAAGCATAAGGGAGCTTTTGTTTGCCTGGATGATTTTCATAATCACATATACATTCTTTATTTTTCGGGAAGTTAATTCTGACTTGTGTTCTTTCAGAATACAGGTTACAGCTTGTCTAAGTGCAGAAACTATTGGTAGACTGAGCTTTGA